GGTATAATGCAAAAATAATGAATTATCTCAGTGGCAGGACAATAAAAGCAAATTGCTAGTTTGTTAAGTGAAGTTAAATTTACACCGCTATTAGTGGATCAATTTAATGGGTATAGAAAAGAATGTGTCAACTAGATCAATGGCTACATATCCCTCAAGAGGCAACTGACAGCCATCTTCCAATTTAGAAACAAGGCGAAGCACAAAAGGAGCTACAGTTGACTCTTCTTCATTAGCTTTTCTATTGAGCTATCAGAGATAGTTAACTTCTCGGATCTAGCTTTTTCACCAGACAAGTCAAGGAATCAGAAAGGAAATGGTGGGACAAATCACTCCCAGGTCCTCCAACTTTATTGTCATGCCTTTAATTTTCCTCACTGTTTTATATTGACAGTTTTGGAGTGGTGGGGGAGCTCCAGTAGTTTCCACTGGGCCCATCCATTGCCAGCACCCATTCATGCTTTGCCCATTCTAATAGAATATTTTCCTCCCTCTAGAGTCATAATAAATGGATTCTAATATCCTGCTCAGAAAGAGGTGATGATCACACGAAGGATCGTTTATCTTTCACAACTGGCAACCTTAGATATTTCCTCTTCCATATCCTAATTGGGTTGTTAGAGGTCCATAAGTAACATCTCTTCCCTACCTGAGATAACAAAAGATCCAACTCAGAACAAAGGAGTCAGGCACACAAAGATCCAAGCAGCTGTTTTGAGATCTATTTATAAAAAAAAATGTGCCTGAGGGATGGTAACAACAGGCTTCCCAGGCTTGGACCTCACCCAGACGCTTGACCTACTGGAAGCAAAAGACTTCTTTCTGCAGGTGCAGAGTGCTTACCACAGGACCAGAAACAAGCACCCCTCAAACATCTCCAATGATCAAAATAACTCCTGGAGTGCGTGGGTGGCTCAGTCCGTTAAGCATCCGACTTTGGCTCAGGTCATGATCTCACGGCTGGTGGGTTGAAGCTCTGCATCAGGCTCTGTGATGACAGCTCACATCCAGGAGCCTGCTTCAGATTCTGTGTTTCCCCCTCTCTGTCCCTCCCCCACTCATGCTCAGTCTCTCTCTGTCTCAAAAATAAAGAAACATGAAAAAAAAAAATTCAGAGGCGCCTGGATGGCTCAGTTGGTTGGGCATTTGACTTTGGCTCAGGTCACGATCTCACGGTTCATGGGTTTGAGCCCTGTGTTGGGCTCTGTGCTGACAGCTCAGAGCCTGGAACCTATTTCAGGTTGTCTCTCTCTCTCTCTCTCTCTCTCTCTCTCTCTCTCTCTGCCCCTCCCCCGCTCAAGCTGTGTGTCTCTCTCTCTCAAAAACAAATATTAAAAAAAGTTTAAAAATAAAAAAACCTCAAAATAGTCCCTTTATCTGTTACCTATAAAAGCCCCTGATGGCTATCCAAAACTGTGCTGTACGATATAGTAGCTGCTAGCCACAGGTAGCTCTTGAGCACTTGAAATGTGACTAGTCTGAACTTGAGATGTGCTGTAAATACAAAGAAGTTGAAGATTATTTAAAATTTTTTCTTCTTTAATGTTTGAGAGAGAGAGAGAGACAGCATGAGCGGGAGGAGGGCAGAGAGAGGGAGACACAGAATCAGAAGCAGGCTCCAGGCTCTGAGCTGCCAGCACAGAGCCTGAGGTGGGGCTCCGACCCGTGGAACCACGAGGTCATGACTGGAGCTGAAGTCGAGTGCCCAACCAACTGAGCCACCCAGTCACCTCGAAAATTTAGTTTTTTTCAAAAAGGTTGTAACACATGTCAATAATTTTTGCATTGGGGCGCCTGGGTGGCGCAGTCGGTTAAGCGTCCGACTTCAGCCAGGTCACGATCTCGCGGTCCGTGAGTTCGAGCCCCGCGTCGGGCTCTGGGCTGATGGCTCAGAGCCTGGAGCCTGTTTCTGATTCTGTGTCTCCCTCTCTCTCTGCCCCTCCCCCGTTCATGCTCTGTCTCTCTCTGTCCCAAAAAAATAAATAAACGTTAAAAAAATTAAAAAAAAAAAAAAAAAAAAAAAAAAAAAAAAAATAATTTTTGCATTGATTACATGTGGAAATGACATTGAATGAAAAATGTATTCAATTATTTTTAAATTAAAATTTAATTATAAAAATTAATCTCACCAGTTTCATTTTTAATTTTTAAAATATGGTATTTTTGATTTTAAAAATTTGACCAATTTCTGGTTCCAAGATTTGCTACTACTAATGATCATTTGGTGAAGCTAAAACCTCAAAATTTAAGGCCTCCAGTACTGTATGCCCTATTGGGAGATACCAGTTCAAAGGTAAAGTGGCCCTTCCCTCAGAATTTTTAGTAGGTGGAATAGTATTTCACATTAAAAAAAAAAAAAAAAAAGCCCTCCAGATCACTACATTTAAAAAAAGAACAAAGATGGGGTGCCTGGGTGGCTCAGTCAGTTAAACATCTGACTCTTAATTTCAGCTCAGGTCATGATCTCATGGTTTCCTGAGTTCAAGCCCCCTATTGGGCTCTGTGCTGATGGTAGGGAGCCTGCTTGGGATTCTCTCTCCCTCTCTCTCTGCCCTTCCCCTGATCATGCGGTCTCTATTGCTAAATAAAAAAACTTAAAAAAAACCAAAAAGGTAACAAAGGGAAAGTATCAAATTTATATCCCCTTTCTGTTTCACTAACCACTGTAGTCCCAGGTCCATTAGTATTCTGAATTTGTTCTAGTTTTATCTTGCTGACAATAGCAGAATATCTTAGGAAAATACTTGATTCTCAATTTACTTATTTACGTCTTCCTTTTGTGTGTGTGTGTGTGTGTGTGTGTAGAGAGAAAGAGCAGGGGAGAGAGGCAGAGGGAGAGAATCTTAAGCAGGCTCCATGCTCAGTGTGGAGCCTGATGCGGGGCTCAATCCCATGAACTTGAGATCATGACCTGTGCCGAAATCAAGAGCTGGGCCTTCGACTGACTGAGCCACCCAGGCGCCCCGATCCTCACTTTACTTCTAACAAGGGAATAAATTAAAAATTCAGAACTCTCAGATATAGTCATCAGTCCAAAGTCTGTCAATCGTCCCTTTTATTTTCTACTGGACATTAAATAATACCAGCTATTATCCACTCTGATAGATTCTGCACTCTGTGAAGTGTTTTTCCTTAAGTTGCTTCAAGAGTCCACACATGAAAAAGCCTTCCCTGCCACTCGTCTGCTCTAAGAAAGGTGGACAAATAGGGTTGTTAGGAGGTGGGGAGTGGTCTGTTTGGCGATCCATCTTCTTGAATATGACTTTAGCTCCCAGGAGAAATGTTTCTTGGTCCCCTGGGATTCATGCTGGGAGAACTAAGTTCCAGACAGCCTTTCAGAATCAAGTCCTCTTCTGGGCTTCACCTCAAGCAACCCGGAAAGGAATGCAGACACCTGGAGTCAAAGTTGCCTAGCGCCTGATCTTTGATAAAATAAAAATATAGGACTGGGCCCAGGGCATACAGGAGTTTTTTGGGACTCAGCATTTTGGGAGTCAGAAGTTCAGAGAAGTGGAATCACATCAAGGCAGACCTTAAATATTCCGAGATTTCATTAAACAGGGAGCTATTTTAGGTCTTGAATAAGGCATTGATGGGCAGGAGAGAGTCATTTAGAAAGACTAGAAAGACTGGCCTAATAGTAGTGTGCAAAATGTCAGTAATGTGCAAAATGTAATTTGCGACAGAGGCCGTTGATGTTAACCAAATACTGAGGTGCTTTCCTAGCCTCTGGTGCTGGGTTCTGGTTTATGAGATGTGGAGAGAAGGGATGGCCCTTAAAAATGTCCTAAATACCTCCCAGCTTTCTCTTTCATGATAACCCTAGAGGCGACAAGTTCTAAATGATGAGGATGGAGTAAGACAGACTTGACTCACAACAGATTTTACATGAGAAAGAAAACTTTACTTGGGGGGTTACTTACTATGGCACCATAGCATAGCATTCCCCTGTTCAATAGTGAAGAGGGAAGAATTCAAATGAGGAAATGACTACTGCAGTAAGGGAGCTGAGATGAGAAAGGTGTAGGCTAGACCGAAAATTCAGAGAAAGGACGAACCCAAGGATATGTTTTACCCAGAGAGAACTTGGTAGGTAGAAAAGTCATTAATTCGGATAAATATTTATTGAGCACCTATTATGTGCAAGGCACCGTGTGAGATACAAAGACACGTAAGTCACGCCTCCAAGTGCTTACAATCTAGTTGAGGAGAGATTACACGTACATAAATTATGAAACAAACCGTAGAGCATAATGCTTAAAGGAACAGACTTTGAAGGCAGACTTGTATCCAAGACTTGGCTTCACCTTTTCCTAGCTGTGCCACCTTGGGCAAATTATTCGACACCTCTAAATTTCAGTTTGCTCATCTGTAAAATGAGGATAGTAACAGTACCTACTTCTACTTGATAGGGTTGGTGAGAGGACCAAATAATCTACTCTTTGCCGAACTCTCCACTGAGTGCTTACCCCATAATGAGCACTCGGTAAGTGCTAGCTAGCTAGCTAGTCAGAGCAGCAGCAGCAGCAGCAGCAGCAGAAGGGACCTACAAGCTAGGACACAAAGAACAAGTTCAGTGCCCAAAAAAGCTCCCAGGGGAAAGGGACCCAGCTATAAAAAGAACCGTTCTGGAAGCAACAGTGTGGCCCTGACACAATTCTGCCATCCCTCCCATCCTGGCCTCCGGTTATTAAAGTGCAGTGATACCTGGGGCCTCAGACAAGAGGCGTGCCTGCGGATCACCTCCTAACATTTATCCCATTGTCTGATAAGCTTCAGCAAAATGTCGACTCTTTAGAGTCACAGCCTCCTTTCCGGCATCCCACATCAGTTCTATAACACAGTAGGTAGCGAGTGTTTATTCACACCGTGGCAGCAGAGATGGAGAAGGGGAGTAGTGGCCAGAATATGCAGAGTGCTCAAATGAGGGATTTGCCTGCTGTGGGAAAGACCAGTCTTGGGTTTCTACGGTGGTCCGCTGACTGAAGCTTCCACCCAACTCAGTCTATTCCTTGTTTGGCATAACGCCGTTGATGTTGAATGACTGACGATTTCGAACTGAACACTTTGCCACACACACTGCATTCGAAGGGTTTCTCTCCCGTGTGCACTCTCTGATGTCGCGTAAGCCGGCACCTCTGGCTAAAGGCTTTCCCACATTCGGTGCATTCGTATGGCTTGTCTCCAGTGTGAATCTTCTGGTGCTGCGTGAGGGACGAGCGGTCAAAGAAAGCTTTCCCACACTCGCTGCACCGATAGCGAGGCTCTCCAGTGTGAGCTTTCTGATGTCTGTTCAGTGATGAGACGCCATAGAAGGCTTTCCCACACTCATTACATTCATAGGGCTTCCTGCCGGTGTGGATGAGCTGATGTCGAGTAAGAATACTTTTCTGGCTGAAGGCTTTCCCGCACTGATTACATTCATAAGGACTTTCTCCAGTATGAATTCTCTGGTGTCGAGTAAGGGATGAGCGGTCAAAGAAGGCCTTTCCGCACTCGCTGCATTTAAAGGGCTTCTCTCCGGTATGAATTCGCTGATGGACCGTTAGGGACGACCGGTCGAAGAAGGCCTTCCCACACGCGTTGCATTCGTAGGGGCTCTCCCCCGTGTGAGACATCAGATGTCTGCTGAGACTGCTCCTGTGACTGAAGGCCTTCCCGCACTCGTGACAGTCATAGGGCTTCTCTCCAGTGTGAGTCCTCTGGTGGCGGATAAGCGATGAGTGGTCAAAAAAGGTCTTCCCACAGTTGCTGCATTCCTGGTCTCTCTCTTTAGTGAGAATTTTCTTCAGAGGGCTAGACCCTTGCTGCAAATTTTCCTTCTGGGAAAGGGACTTCTTGCAGGTCTGCACCACAGGGCTCCCCTTCCCTGTTTCTAACTCACCCTCCAGGGCATGAGCTTCAAATTTAGGACACAGAGGAACTTTTCTTCCAAGCCTTTCCCTCACTATTCGTCCTGGTTTTTCTTCTTCCGAAGCACCCTGAGGCTCAGGCTTGGTCTCCCAATCTGGAATGGACAGAAAATACAGATGCAGTTTCTTTCCTGGGCTGGGAAATACTACATCAGAAAGAAGAGACACTACGATAAATCGGAAAAGTAGAGTGTGGTGACTGCCTCACTCGCTCGCACAGACAGTTGTCCATGCTGGGGAAAGACTGAGACCTGGGAAGGCAGAAGAAAGTAGGGAATAGAACTGACAGTGGACATCTCAGAAAAGAGAAGACTTTCCATTGGGAGCATGGCCAGGATAACTAGGAGAATACACTGAGTGGAGAGGATGGTGGGGAATAGGAATATCAAAGAGTGAACGGGCAATGTGACAGATCTGAGAGAACAACATTTGGTGAATAAAGATGAGTGACACTTTAAGGTGTACAGAAAAAAAGTCAAAGCTCGTGGGTGATAAAGAGTAAACACTAAAGCAGAAGATTTGAATGTGAGGAAAAACGTGGTACCCAAGCCTCCCTCCCAAACACCCAAATAACAACCACAAAACAAACCCAAACTCTGCCCAGCCCTGTTCATACACAATTACCTAGAGAGACATTCTCTGGACATTCTCTCTCCTCAGATCCATGAAGATCAACTATCCAAGGCTCATCCCCTCTCTTCAACTGAAAAATGACCTCAGGTCGAGGAACTGGGAGTCCTGCTCATGGAGAAAGAAACAAGCCAGGCACATGATGAAAATATGCCACTATTTCAAAGCGTAATCCCAGCCTCAGAGTGCTTCTGAGAGAAAATGCAAAAGTCAGAGGGCACACACCAGGAATACAGAGCGCAAAGTACTGGAAAAGAATGCTCAGAATGGAGGTTCTAAAAGGGACCAAGTAGATGGGGCCCCTGGTGGCTCAATCAGCTAGCGTCTGACTCCAGCTCAGGTCATGATCTCATCACTCTGAGTTTGAGTCCTGATTCGGGCTCTCTGCTGTCAGCACGGAGGTGACTCCGGTTCCTGTCTCCCTCTCTCTCTGCCCTTCCCCATCTCGTGCCTTCTCTCTGTCTCAAAAATAAATAAAAACATCAAAAAAAAATTTTAAGTTAAGGGAAACAAAGTAGCACTTGGTCAAAAAGTTGATACAATTCATTTGAATTATGTGTTTATTCTTCCCACTGAACTGAATGGGATGTCCCAGCTTTAGCACTGGTAGGATGGGGGGAAAGAGTCCTTGGGTCAGGGAAGATGAGAATCAAAACAGATCATCTTGAGTAAAAATATATAATCTTTTTGTTTACCCTTTACTACTAAGCTCTTATTTAAACAAGTGGGTCATGCTCATTGTAGGAAAATTAGGGGTAAGTTGAAGTAAAAAGAAAAATCACCTTTTGTACTTTGTATCTATTTTGAAACTGAAAGATACCTATAGATACATTCTGTTAAAAACTGCGTTGTAGGGGCACCTGGGTGGCTCAGTTGGTTAAGCATCTGACTTCAGCTCAGGTCATGATCTCACAGTTTGCGGGTTCGAGCCCCATGTCGGGTTCTGTGCTCACAGCCCAGAGCCTGGAGCCTGCTTCAAATTCTGTGTCTCCCTCTCTCCCGTCCCCTTTCCCCACCTATGCTCTGTCTGTCTCTCAAAAATAAACAAACATTAAAAAAATTTTTTTAAATGGGTTATAAAATAATCCTGACTTGTAAATTTGATTTTTTCCACATAATGATAAACTTAAATATTATTTTACTTCAATTAACACAGATCTATCTTAGCACTTTAATGGCTACATGAGGTTACGTTGTATGGAATAATCTAATTTATTTAATCTCCTGCTGACAGACATTCAGACTGTTTTTAATGTTTTGCTATTAACAAACAATGATATGGTGAACATTTTTATATACCAGGGGCTGTTAATCCTATTACTTCCTTGGGACAAATTTCTAGAAGTGAATCTGTCCATTTTTGGTTATTTAAAGAAATAGAACCCATCCTAGAAATAGTCTCGAAGTCTAAACTTCTATTGCACCGGGGGCCCCAAACTGGGAGAGACACAGTTTCTTACTGGGCCCACGGATCACCTATCTGGTTGTATGCTGATTCTCGGCTGATAAACTGGCCACATCCATGGCCTGCCTGTGGCTTCCTCTTTCTGACCTTTGCTAGGAATTCTATTTTCCCCAATATTTCATCCCACCAAAGCCTGTGACAAAGGCTCAGCAGTCTCCCTTAATGTTCCCTGAACATTTACCTGTTTTTTCCTATTTGGCCCATTTAAATTCTTGACATGCCTTGCATAAAATCTGTAATGGGACTCCTTTGGCTGCCACCTCCTGCTTACTTTATACTGGTTTCTGAATCTGTACACTCTCCCGGCCTCTTTTTTTTCTCTTTAATTTTTTTTTTCAACGTTTATTTATTTTTGGGACAGAGAGAGACAGAGCATGAACGGGTGAGGGGCAGAGAGAGAGGGAGACACAGAATCGGAAACCGGCTCCAGGCTCTGAGCCATCAGCCCAGAGCCCGACGCGGGGCTCAAACTCAAGGACCGCGAGATCGTGACCTGGCTGAAGTCGGATGCTTAACCGACTGCGCCACCCAGGC